CTCGGGCACTGGGGGTTCTGGGGGTGGCCCCGGGACCGCCACGGACTCCAGCTCCGGCTCCTCTCCGCCCATCATCTCAGGGTTGCTGCGAGGGTGCGGGGTCGCGGTCGGCCCAGAATTACGGATTTCAGACTCGCCGCCTCCTCTGCACCCCCGCCCCTCCAGACAGTGCTACCGGAAACCGTTAGCCTTACCGAGGGGGGGGGACAATATTTCGCTCGCCCCGCCCATTGGCGTTCCTATAACGTCATTTCCTCTGCTCCGCCCCCAGTTTCGCGAGCGCTTCTGGTTTGCTAAATCTAGCACAGCCTGTAAGGCGAGGTGTTACTACTGGAACCCGTAGAAGTTCTACGGGTCCTCATTAGGACCACTTTTTTATAAAACTCCATACAGCTTCTTGGCCTGTTTGAACCTTTTCCTGTTTTCTCATGACTTTTGGAGCGTGAAGTTAGCCCTCGTGGGGTGCCGAATGGAACATCCTTAACTAATCGGCTCAGTGGCCCAGCATCTAGACCTGCCCCCTCCGTGCCACTGATAGAGGAGAAATATAACTACCAACCTGCTAGATATCAGATGTGCCGATTCCTGTCCCCCGAATATCAAAGAATGAATTGCAAGGAACAACAGAGGTTAAGAGTAGGAAAAGTTTATCAAGAGATAGCTCCTGAGAGATAGAGACATGAAAGTGAGTTGCCACAGAGGCCACTTCTCCAAGAATGTTTAATAGAGCAAAATCATGAGGTGGGTCAAACTATAATCAACCAGTAAGATGACAAGTATAACCACCTAGCTAATATTGACCCAATAGGGAAGGTTTATGGTGGTACATAGCAAAGGTTTATGACTAGAATCATTATCCTCAACTTATTTAGAAATTCTAACAGAACAAACATTTTTGAGGAGGGATGGCCTAGAGGCTCTGGTCACTCACCTGGACATCTGATGCCTATCTGGACTTTCTGGACTAGGTTATGCTAATTATAGTGTAATTCTCAAGTTACTGTTTATCCCTTAGGGAAGCATGCAAGCCTGGCCACTGTGATTCCAGCTTGAGGTCTGGCCTTCCTCAGATGGAGCTCCAGCCACACTTTTGATGTGTTCTCATCTTCTGCACTGCCTCTTTCAGGAACCCTGTCTGCCTTTTAATTTCTAACTTAGCTGTTTATAATATTATTGATCTGTGCCTCCTTTATACCTTTGTCAATCCCACACTGACTTGATTATGGCAGTGAGCCTCCCCTCTGGGTGTAGTTCCTCCTACTTTATTCTGTTGTTTGTTTGTTTTTGTTTTTATTTTTTCCTGAGACAGGGTCTTGAACTCACTGTGTATCAAACTGACAGTAATCCTCCTGCCTCAACTCTGGAGTGCTGGAACTACATGCCCAGCCCCCTACTTTATTCTCTTCTTTTTTAAAACTGTTTTTATTGCTTGTCTGTTGATTTCTACAGAGCAGATTTTTTTTTTTTTTTTTTTTTTTTTTTTTTTTTTTTTTTTTTTTTTTTTTTTTTTTGGATACTGGAGATCAAACTCAGGTCCTTGTGCTTGCGAGGCAGGTGGCAGAAGCAGATATATTTTTTAAATTTTCAGAGAGATCTCTCTGGTGAAACTTGGAGCATGTTTCTGCCTGTGATCTTTTTGGGGCATTCTGTAGAGTTTAGAATACATTTCAGCAGTGGACAGCAATCCCAGCTTCCCTCCTCCATACCTCACTGCCTGGCCACATCCCTTTCCCTTCCCTGCACTTCTAACTGCGCTCCCTGAGTTTCACACATACCCCCTTGGAAAACGCTAATTCTTTCGGTTTTTTGTTTGTTTTATGTTGTTTTACATTTTGTTTTTGTTGTTTTGGTGCTGGGGCCTGATCCCAGGGCCTTTGTGCTAAGCCCAGCTAACTCTGGGCCCCTGAGTCTCCTGATTTTCAAGGTTTTCCTCACACTATTTTCCTAGTTTTTCTCTTCTCTCTTTAACCTCTGCTCTATATCTCAGAAAGGGCTCACTTGAGTCCCTGCCTCTGTCGCAGTAAATAGCATAGGACTTCCTCTTGCACAGCCCCTGACATGCAGGAGGCATTTAGTAAAGGTTTGGGATGTGGAAGATTCCAATGGGTATTTATTACTCAGTCAGCCTTCCCACTCCATGAGTTCTGTATGGGCTTCAAGACTCACATTTCCTTCCTTTGACACATCTGACCCTGTGCTATTCCAGGACTGTGAAGACCATATGAATAACCTGGATGCAGTGGGGCCCACCTGTAATCCCAGCACTCTAGGAGGCTGAGGCAGGAGGGTTGCAGATTTGAACCAAGCCAAGCCTGGACAACGTAGAGAAACCCTGTCTCAAAATAAAAATGCAAAAAAGGGCTGTAGGTCTAGCTTAGTGCAAAAGCCCTATCTTTTAACCCCTGTACTCCAAAAAAACTGCATAGCCCGAAGGGACATGCAAAGAACAGCCACAAGGAAAGGGCAGAGAGGAACAGCACTGTCCAGAGGGGCTGCGGGTACCTGCCTCAGATTCATAGTACAAAGTGAGTTGGGGTCCCAAGGAGAAACCTAGGTCTAGGTAGGCACCTGTAGAGCAAAGGAAACCGGGCTTGGCCACCCTCCAGGCCTCCCCTGTGCAGATTTCTTTCTCCTAATCATGTTGTCTTCCTCTGAGGGCCCCATCTAGGCCCTGCTCACCTCTCTACCCAACCTGCAGCTTGGCCTGACTTTCCTCTCCCCGTCACCAATAGCAGGCTGTCACCCTGGAGACCGGTCTGGGCCTGGGGACACCTTGTAACCTGCTTCCCCTTTCTGTGCCCAGGACCCGGGGTTCTGCCTCTGCCCTGCCCTTCCCACAGTGCCTTCACCCTTGCTTCTGGGCTGATTCTCTGTCCTGTAAATGCTTCCTGGAGCCAATTAGAAAAGTCAGGGATCTCCCTTTCCAAAGGCTGAGGGGTGGGGGTGGTATTAGGTATTGAACGGAGGATCTTCAAGCTAAGGCACATACTCAGCTCTTTTTTATTTTATTTTTTAGTTTGAGACAAAGTTATTACATTTCCCAGGCTAGGGGCAAACTTGTGATGCTCCTGCTT